TATTATTTATTTCATGCTCCATTATTAATTAAACAACGACTCATTTCCAACTGGTTTATTGACTCTTTCGATACAACACCCTAGAATACAAAAAACGGTCAGCATATAAAAAGGTTAAAGATACACAACCTAATATAAAAAGTTGCCGGACTGTATTCGTTTATCAGACATATAGTATACAGTGTGTTGAACAAAAACGTTAGTAAATAATATAGTTGTCATAATTTACTACAATTAAAAGTCGAAATTGTGATGAAAATACGTTGAAAATATATCAAACTTCGAAATTATATTTTGATTAAATGCGACCCCCAAACGTACCGCGAACTGAAATATGATCAATACGCTGGATTCATCATTCAAACATCAGCTCTCCAATGAGAGGTCGCAAGCCATAGGGTTGCATTTGAAAAAAAAAACATGTTGGGGTTGATTCCAGCTACCCCTGAATTCTCCATATAGCTCGCCCAATGTAGGGTGTACATTTGAACGTTGACGTGTCTCGCGAATTTTCAGACAAATCATGCATTCCCACAGTAGAGAATTTATTTCAGTTGAAGTCCCCACCCCTGTACATAGTATATACATATAATCTGTAATTTATAATCCTGTTTTCGGTATAACTTCGTTAAAAATCGATGTGCCTTCGTGAATGTTTCATCAAAATCTCTGAAATAACTCAATATACGTATTAAGAAACTGAAATGAATTTGTACCTAGTGCCGTTGGAGAGAGAATATATAAAAAATATAATCTCTCAATTTCACCTTTTTTGTGATAACTTTGTTGATAATCGATGATGTGCGTTAGTGCGTTCATGAATATTTCACCAAAATCTCTAGAATAACTCAATATACATATTTAGGAACTGAAAAGAGTTTGCAGTGCCGTAGGAGAGAATGTATAAAAAATATATAATATTTCATTTTTCATAGTCTTTTTTATATCTCCGTTAATAATAATCCCAGAGCGTTCGTGAATTTTGCGTCGATATCTCTAGAATAACTAATCTATAGCATTACAATGCGACAGATAGATAAATGAAACCAAGCTTTATCAAATAACACATTGAAAAATGTCGCTGGCTCCCGGGCTATGAGTAATAACAAACATAGTTTGAATACAATAGTGTGGATCATAAAGTTGAAAAAGCGTGCCTGGGAAGTTTGGCAACGGTGCATGCGAAATCTCTATTTCATTTTCGACCGTCTACACGTCATGAAGCGCGGCCAGAAAATCGAGAATAACCGCACATCAACATAATATATATATATAGGGAGACCAGACGCAAGGATTATAAACTATTTTATACAAGTATTCTTTTTCGAGGCTGCTGTCTTCATACTCTATCTTTTTTCATTTGGGAAGTAAATGCCTCCTTTTTGAAGTTGGACCCGTTTAGACGGTTTATAGTAAAAATTTGACAATGATTAATAAGGAATAAGGAACAACTGAAAATAAGATCAGGAAAGAAAGAAATTCCATCAATCTCCGGTTAACTGATGATGTCATTCAGTGTTCTCTAGTTCTTTCAATTTAAGTTTCTGTGCTCTCTGCTCTATGCGAGGCTCTATGTCTATGGCTCAGAGATAGTGTGTCACTTTTCCTTTTTGTTTGTGTTTTGAGCTTTTAAGGTATTATTAGTGGGTATATGAACCTGATTCGTTAAACTAAAACACAGATTTCATTAATCTGTGCTAAAATCAACAAATAAATATGTTTCGTTAATATATTTATAAGGCATTTGACCTCGAACAATAATTTTTAAAAAACGCCAGTGGCGCTTTTTTTATTTCTTTTATTACTCAATAGAACTACCTACGGAATGTACTCTTTTTAATTTTCGAAGTCTGGTCACCCTAAACATATAATAAGATATAAACTCACTTTATATTCAATGAAAAGTGTTTTGATGTATCATCATTTTCTAGGATTTGTAATAGGTCTGTTTTGTGGAACGATAACAAATAATCTTCGATTTCTCCATCCATAATTCAGAATATCATTTTGAATAGTCACAAAATTGAAGATGTTTTTATTTTGATTCAACACTTCAAGAAGTTTTAGACAGTGTTGCCAGCAGCTGAATATGAAATGTCGCAGTCACGAACAACACGACTAGAAGTCGTTATAGCGTGCAGAATGCCTGCCACAGGTGAAATTTTCTAAAATTTAGCGACTTTTTCCGTGATCTAGCGACATCTTTTATTATTTTTCCTCATTTAGTACCATACCTTATATATATATATTTTTTTTTCAAAAAAAAAACAGAAAAACGATATATGATATAGTAAATCACAAAATATTTTTCTCGGTCGCATTTGAAGTATTTCTTTGATCAAAACACACACAGAACAAATCACATTGGTTCCTTCAAGTTCATCCAATACTGCTGATTTAGCAAAATAAAGTATTTATACAAGCACCACCATTTTTGAAACCATATCGAATGTACAAAATATCACTCAAAAGCAACTCAAAAGTGTCAGAAACGGCACAAATGATGAAAACAAACTCTGAGCATTCACCTATCCTGACCACTAGATTTAGCGACAAAACTGCAGAGACGGCAACGCTGCTTTCAAACTTGAACTTGAACACAAAACCAAGAACTGACTTGAAGTGACTAAACACAGAAACGTCTCTTGCCAGTCATTAAATTATAGTAGCTTGTTGTTGTGCTGCAGAAAGTCTCATGTATTATGAGGAAGGAAAATATGGTTTTTGCATGAAAAATGAGACTACTTTTGACCTCTCGGCCCAAATAAACCTTTTTTCTGGAAGGTATATACTTTCGAAAAATTACTTGAATGAAAAAAAATTGAAAAAATCGACTCCTTGCAGGGAATTGAACACGAGCAACCGCCGTGAAAGTCAAATAGACAGCCCACTGAGCTATCAAACTATCCGAACGTTTTATCTATGATGAAAAAAGAAATATAGTGTCTTGGCTTGTTAATTACAATTTTTTGAAAAATATACTCTTCAGGAAAAAGGTCCATCTAGGCCGAGTAAGGTTAATAGTAAGCCCTTTTTTATGCAGGAAAGATATTTTCCTTCCTCATAATTAAACCTTATAACCTTCTGATAACCTCGAAATATATCACAGCACAGCAGCAAGATACTATATTACTTACTCATAATTTTTTATAATCATTCAAGGACAGATATACACTGAAGTACATAATTTCAGTCCAGTGGTTAACGGTATGAATGATTAAACCACGGATTTCTAGAATAACTGCACAAAACAAATGCTCTTCCTAAGAGTATGCACCAAAGTACCCTTTTCGTTTTCGCACGGTTTTTCGTTTGAAAAGTTGTACATTTCCGTACGATTCTACTCTCCGCACGATTTTATCGGGGGTAATATCACGAATACTCTCATTGGCGATTCAACGAGAGCTGTTCTGAAAAGATCACAAGAGCGTACATTGTTTTCCCCACGTATTCTTCATAATCTTCTCTATTCTGTTTCTTCAAATTGAAGCCCCAGTTCATCGATATTCCTACCACATTGCCACACTGACTGTTCGGTTTCCAAGTTTTACAAGTTTCGTTGTTTACAAAATTCGCCAAATTGGTTCCAAGTGGAGAAATTACTTCTTTTTATATTATCAAGAGCTGTTTTTCAATCCTCTTTACTATTTCTGCATCGCAAATATTTCCAAATCTCTACATACGTCGCTTACTGGAATATCATTCACTATATATTATTCTCTTTTTGAAATTAACAATTGTCAAACTGATGCATCGTGCAACACTTGATGAACGAACAGTAAAAGCTAGCGTTGCGATGGTAACGTGATTCATCCGATTTTTGGGGTGGAATTGTCTATTTAATCGTGCGGGCAAGTTACTAATTTACTCACGATTATTGTATTGTTGAAAATGTGGATATTTTGGACTAACTGAAAGATCTACGTAACTATATTCTGTCTTACCTGTCATTTTGTAGCATTATTATGAAATATTGTTTATTGAAAACACTTCTTTTGATAAATATAGTATGTACAAAAATACTCGTTGGAAGAACATTGTTCCTAACACTTGCGGAAAATGGCTTTTCAACCCTTGACGGCTAGCCCGAACTGTCTTTCACATCGTAAGTGCAACTGCCGTCGCGTGCGGAAAAGTATTACTTTCCGCACATGTTAGGTACATTACTATTACAGAATCTCGTGGACTACATTATGAGTCTGCAGATCGTTCGTGCCAGCTACAGGTGAGCAACACCACCGAATTTCTTATGAATGGAAGAAATTCAAATGCAGAGGGAATGAAGTGCAATTAGAATCCTGAATTGCAATATTTGATCTGAGTGATTTCAAGTATAGGTGTATCCATGACAATACATTCAAAACCACACATATATTTCGAGTTAATTATCGCGATTTTTATGTTTATTCGTTCTCGAATGTTTAGATATAATGTAAATAACGCGAGATGTGAAAATGCGTCACTTCCGTGCAAATGGACCTATAATAGTACGAGTACCTGTAGACAGCTCCCAGACCAAAATCATACCTTCTGCTTAAGAAAGCAGATAGAATGATGACAGAAAACTACTTTTTTTTTAAATTATGTAACCTTTCTAGGACCAAATGAACCTTCATAAATACCAGAGATAAGTTTTATACCTAAACACCAAAGATACTACTTTTCCTCAACAATTCAACGTTGAATTCAACGTAACTCGGCCTAATTGAACCTTTTTCTTACGTGAAATTACTCGAGAACAAAATTAAAAAAGAAAATTATCTCTCGGATCGCAAGTGTGGCATACTGACGCTCAATTCACTGTACAACAAAAAGTTTACACATTTTTGAAAAGAGAATATCTCGCATCATGTCAGAGATAAGTTACCTACTATTAGGATTGTGGGTTGGAAGCCAAATATTGGATGAAGATTCAGGAACTGTCTGCAGGCACTCGTCTCGAGTGAAAATGTTGACAACTGATGACATGACGGCAAAAGTCGTTGTATCTGTCAACTGTTAATATGTGATTATGTGTCAATATTGTTGGTTAAAAATCTCAGATAAATAATAATAATCTCGATAATAATAATTTATAATAAATTGGCATAGAAAATGGGAGACATGGAAGAAGATATTCAATATCCTTCACATTTTTCCAGTACCATAGCCTCAGGTGAGATGTTTGAACATAAATTACTGTAGCTCAAAATATTGATTCAATTTATGAAATTTTCAGTTGTTGGCATATTTGAGGACTATGGCTGGTACATTCTCATATCAGGTGTAATAATGGCTTATCTCTATCAAAGATATCTCAGGACCATAGTGGATCATTATAGAATAAAAAGAGATGAAGCAGAATATGCTGCTAAGTATCACAAAAGTATACATATCTACCTTTATGTGACAATAAAAGTTATTTCAATTTTTCTTTGCAGATCCTGATTTAGTAACTGCCAGGCTGACAGCTCAGGAACAGCGTACCTTGCAGTTGCAGGAGAAATATAGAAGGGATGCTGAGGAACATAAGAGGAAAATTGAAGAGGTAAACTGTCATCAGACTATGGTTGTATCTTTTCTAACACTTTTTCTTCAGAAAGAAGCCAAGAAAAGAGAAGCTCTTCTGAATAAATACAGTGAGGAAGGAGGTCACAAATTAGGAGCATCAAATAATGATGAGAACAAATCATTCAAACCAGGTGAGAAATTATAACTTAAAGTCTAGAAATACTTGGTATTTGCAATATCCTTTGAATTTTTATTTCAATATCCTGTTCAGTTAAGTATTGAAGGTTCAATGTGGATTTGCTAAGAGTTTATGATAGGTATTTTTCTGAATTAACATGTTATTCTAGGAATCATCAAGAATTCTTCAACATCCTCTGGAATTTCTTGGTAGTACCTGTTATATCTTGGAAGTTTTTTCAATTCTTCTTTGTGGATTGAACAATTTTTCAACACAATTTTTTGTAGTTTCTTAGAATTCCTTGAAATCAATTCAGAAATTGAAGTTGAGTGAAAAAAAATCTAAACAAGTTAATGAGTACACAGATCTCAAAAATAGTTCCTCCTTGAGATCTTTGAGATTGAACTTTCAATAAATCAAAGTATCTTCCAAAGACTTACATTGACTTCTAAAGACACCCAATTAATCAGAGACATCTAATAACTTCCAAATATGTATAATCACTTCAAATTGAAAAAAAATTTGATCTATAATGAGTCAACAAGGTTCAATGATGTCCAAAGAATTTCAATTACATCCAAGAACTCACAGTGACTTACAGACTTCTAACAAATTCACAAGTCATCTAAAAACTCCTAATAGCTCTAATTGACTCAAAGACTTCCATGGACTTTGAAAAGTCTCAATGTTTCCTGAAGAATTCAAAAATCTTTCAAACTAGCAAGACTATTTGAGATGTTTTTGAAATAAGTCCAATTGAATAACTTAGAAAGGCTTCTAAAAATTCCATCCACTTTTGAATAGTTTAAATAATGTCTGAAGAATTCCAAATAGTAACAATATTCATCCCTGGGTTGTAATGTTCCCTTCATTTTCAAAAAATATAGATTCACAACTAGAAAATACAGGGTGAGTCATTGAAATGGGAAAGTGAGATAACGATTCCCTGTTTGAGATAGATGAATAAAAATTTTTGTGATGGTCTAGGCTCATGAGCAGCATATTTCTAAATTACTTTGCGTATACAGGGTGACTCAAATATGCGTGGCGTATCAGGATCTAGCGGGAATGATAGCAGAGTGTTCAAAATCAAGATTTTTCAACTTTAGTATTTTTTGTGTTGAAACTATTAATTATTGGTCAGAACGGCTCACATGTCCATATATTAACTTTGGATTTACTATCTACTGATATTTAATTTAGACGAATACAGGGTAGTTCAAAATTCAGAATTATGAACCACACTGTATTCGTTCAAATTAAATATCAGTAGATAGTAAATCAAAAGTTAAGATAGGGACATGTATGCCGTTTT